CAAACCACCGATAACTGAAACTAATTTGGCCCTTTTACTGCTTAACACAGTCAAGTCAATGACTTTTACTACAAAACAATAAAAAGAATTACTGTCAAGATTCTAGAAGAAATTTCAAAATTATACACAAAAATCTCTACGATTGACTAAAACCGTTGTAAGTTAATAAACGGCCTACTTTTTTATAAAAAGGTCCTACTGTATCCTCCTTTCTGGATTTTCTTCCTGTATGTATGGCATATCCAGAAGAAGATTTGTTGAAAGTTTCAGCTCTGTTGGAAGGGTATAAAATAGGCGGAAGCTAATCATGATATATAGTAGATGTGTTTTGGGGAAATAGTATTAGCATAGATTCAATTCAATTCAGTTCAATTTTATTTTAGTCTTTTAACTGAAACAAATGTTTAGCATGCTCAAAAAGTCCGAGTTTTATTTTATTGTACATATTGATTATACCGCCATTCTTCTACTTGAGTTTTTTCCCAGTACTAAATAACAAACGAGGGAACCTATCGAACTGTTACCAAGCTTTTTCAATCAAACCCAATGGGTTATAGGTATTCGACCACGCTGATTCCGAATATGAACATGAGAGCTGTCCATAGGACTTTAAAGATCCGGTTAACCAAAACCTTTCGTAATGTGGCATGATTGTAACCCACATATTTCGGATTAAAATGAGACATCTCCAAGCTCTACACGACCTTTCTTTGCACAGTTATAGAATTTACAAAGAAAGCCCTAAATTCTGAATCGCCAGGTTGTGTTTTTCGAGACTGTTCCATTAATGTTTTTCCTTTTCATTACTGTCTCATTACTGCACATTACGTTTTATTTAAATGGTACTGAGCAGATCTTCGAATGTTTTGCAAAACAAGATGCTCGTATCGAAGCAGTTGTATCTGATATGGTGAAACGAGGCTCGAGAGATGATATAACACAATTTTGTTTCACTAATCAATACGGTCGTCAACCATTAGACTGTGGGACAATTGCAAGCATTCCACGGACAAATGACATCCGCATCCATTTAGAATCTAGTGAATATCTGTGGCAGTTAGACATTATAAAGCCACCGAATATGACGGATACTGATACTAACAACTAATTTATTTGTCTCAATAACAAAATGGCAACACTTATATGAATACGTAAAAGCTGGCTGATTCATCGCTAGCTCAACTCTTGTCGACGGAGGACTTTCGCTTTTGGGATAATCGACGAAACCATTTAGTCAATGAACTGCAAGAAAAACTATCATCATCTGTAGCGGATTCAGAAAGTAATAAAGAAGAGCTCACTCTCAAGCTCACAAAGTTATAGAATTTGCAAAAAAAGCCCTAAATGTTTCATTGTCAACTCAAAGCTACAGAAATAAGAAGAAATCAATTTAGGGCTTTTCTTGTAAATTCTATAACTTTGCAAAGAAAGGTCGTGTAGAGCTCTTTTAATCAGAAATGTGCGGACTACAATTATGGATCATTATGAAAAGGTTTTGGTTATTTTTTAAAGTTTCTGAAAAACTGATTTTCCAGAAAATCGGATCTTAAAGAGTCAAGAGCCCGAATCCTTTTAGGCTTTTTACTACCTCCATATTACCTATCGATCGGCATATGAACGAAAAAAAATGGAGTCTCTCACTTCGAAAGGTTCTCTCGTAAGTTCGACCAGAAAAAATTACACTATCACGCGCCACGTACTACTATTTTTCTTATTCCTTCCAATAAGTAGAAATCGTAGATCCTCTTCTCCAAGCTTTTTCTGACATCGTCCCTCTGAAAAAAGAACACGTAGTTTCTGTGTCAGCCAAATTAACAAATTGAATGCAACGGATCATCTCCTGAATTGTTCTGCGCGAACTTCAGATAAAAATTATCATTGTATCATTTTCGAGAAAACTGTTGAATTCTGTGACTGACAAAACATGTTCTGGTGAGAAATAGGTACTTCAGAAATAGTAAGGCTTATAAGTTGTTTTGATATCGGAGCTCTATGGGAACCGTATGAACGGATGGAGCTCTCAAATCGTGTCTTAAACCCTTTTTTGATGAAAACTCCTAAATCCTTTTTCGTTCTGTATGGCTTCATTTTTCTAAAAATCTATTTTTTGTTTAGAGAACAGCATGACAATAATTGATGGTATCTCTACTAACGACGTCATAAAAATTCGTCTTGAGTTTGAGTCTGACTCGGTCACTCTATCAACGCTCTCATCAGTTTCATTGAGTACAATGCTTGAAAATGAGTATCTAAAGCAGCGAAGTATGACAATCGGTGATATAACATTATTGCATAATCAAAGCATCATACACAACTTCGATAAGCCATTATCTGACTTTTTATTCAAAGATGTGGAAAATACAGAAACTCAGAGCGACCAAGGCGACCAAGTTTCTGATGTGGATGTAACATTTCAATTATGTTCATTAGTTTTCGTTACGACACCAAACAATCGTCAAACCCTTCAATTCCCAATCAAAAATGATTTGATACCCATTAAAAATCTCATCGACTTTACTCGTGAAAAATATGTCATGAATGAGAGAGACAAGTGCAATTTAACTACAATCTTGATGGAAATATTGGATGAAAATGCTGTTCTGTCCGAGATAAATGCCAAAAAGTATATTCTGTTGAAAGAAAACGAAACTTGTTTCGTTACCGTTGAAACAAAAGACGCTGGGAACAACGTACAAAAAATGGTGAGCCGAACAGCTACAATCGCAAATACACGACAAATGTTCCAAATTCTGCTCGATCAGAACCTCATATCTCAAGATGATTTTATTCCGACTGAAGAAACAGCGCTTTCTACATTACTATTTCCAAACACAACATTAATCACGTTCACAGTGGGTATCAACGAACTCCTGCGAGCGTCACTCTGAAGAAAGCTGAAACAAGTCTTGTCAAATTCAACTGTGCAGACAATTTAACATGTGAGCGTATTTGTGAAATTGGATTTGTAGCTCTACGTGAAGACGCAACATTGTACGACCTATGCCTGAAAACTGTTGTGCTAGATAAATCACTAACACTCAATAAAATAAATGAAGCAAACGAATCGATGGTTATTGGTGATGAAAACGAATTTCAACTAGTTTGTGTTGCTCAAACAAAATGCGTAGTTACCCTCATGCTTGATGATCACCATGAACACAATGTTGTCGAGCTATTCTGTGATTCGATAACGCCAATCAAATATTTGTTTGAAACAGGATTTTACAAAGTAGAGCAACATCACAGTAGTCAGGAAGAACAGTCAGATTTTGCCATGTATTACGAGCATATTGCTACGGATTTGGATCTTACAGTTCACAATTTTTCAGATGCATTACCGGTTGAGAGAGCTCCTTTAGGTGATATTCTACATTTTACAATTAAAAAGACAAACCAATATCGAAGTTTTCTTGAAACGTCATAAAATTTAATCTTGTGTGTTTTTGTTTTCTGTTTGCATCACCGATTTTTTTCTCAACTTAATCACGAACTAATTCCGGTATATGTTTGATTCTGCACTTTATAAAATGAAGCATTAGGCAGATTAATATCATACTCGGAACCAGCGGCCCTAGAGATCAAATCTTATATAAGATTCCTATAGGAATCTTACAGAATATCTGCAAGAATCTTATAAGGCAGTCGATGAAAATGCGTAATTTATGTATAAGAATCTTATATAAGAAACTGATAAGA